CCCCGGTCGCTGACTGACCACTGGGGGGCAAATGACCCCCCTCACTCAGGAGGCACCAGTCACCCAGATGCCTGCCTTCCAATATCTGTTCAGGTACGGGGAAACTGAGCAGGTTACAGAAGAGTGGCCTGAAGCCTGGACTCCTGGCTTCCATCCACACCTCCAGGTGTGGTGTGGTATGACTCTTCCCTTTCCGTCCTGTCCCATCCTGTCCCTTCCCAACCCATCCCATCCCATCCCACAAATTCATTGAGGAGGAAAGGGCAGCAAGGAATAGGGAATAGTGTGTTTACCAGGGCGCCCCTTGGGGTTAGTAGGAACAATGGCCGTTACCTGACAGGGAGCAGATTTAGATTAGACATTAGGAACATTTTCTTTATGGTGAGGGTTGCCAAAATCTGGAATGGGCTTCCAAGGGTGGTGGTGCTCTCCCTTACCCTGGGAGGTCTTTAAGAGGAGACTAGACAAGCACCTAGCTGAGGTCATCTGACTCCAGCGCTCTTTCCTGCCCAGGGCAGGGGGTCAGACTTGATGATCTACTGAGGTCCCTTCTGACCCTAAAAATCTATGAAAGGGGCAAAAGAGGTCCTTAAAATAAAGCCCAGGAGAATATCCCTCCACTCCTAGCCTCTGAACACTGCTCTGATCATGGGGAAAGAGCATTTCTGCTGTCTTAAGTCAAGAAGGCAGATAAGAGTGGTCTGCGGTGAAGTCTGAGGCTCTGGACACTTGGGGATCTATCCCCACGTTTGCTGTAGAATCCCTGGACCACCCAGGTCCAGCCGAGTCCCTTCTCTGTGCCTCAGTTTCCCACTGAAATAGTAATAGTGAGGCTTGTTTGATATATTAAGATGAAAGGAGGCTTTCTGGAGGGTGGGTGAGGCTGGCTGATGGGCCCCCTAGCGTCGTGGGTGTTGAGGCAGTGATTGGGGAGCCCAGATCTTAATTGGGGTCTAGGCTATGCCTGATATAAAGGCGGCCCCATGCTTTTGTCTTGAGCACCACCCAGCACCCAAAGGCTGCCAGGGGCTGGGCTACTGTGGGAAGGTGTCAGACGTTGTCTGGGGCTCCAGGTTTCACTGGGCCCTCAGGCAGGGTCCAGGAGCGCCTGGTACAACCGAGCTCTGCTTTTGGGTGGGGGCATGGCCGCACCCACTAGCCCAAAAGCCCTGCCCTCAGCTTCCCCAAGCTCACTGTGGGGAATGCAGCCTTCTCCTGGTTCTTCTCGTATCCTTACAGCCCCTTGCACCATTGCACCCAGCAAATAAGGAAAGCCTTACCTTTGGTGACCTAGAGGGGTTCAAGGCTCTTCTCTGAAGCAACCACTATCCTCAGCTCTTCCTTCCTCTGTGCCGGGATGGTGCACGCCAAAAGCGGAAGTGGTGGTGGGGAGCAATACCCCGTTGACAAGGTTACCGCTCACCCCGTAACCAAGGAGTCAAAATAATGAACAATAATACAATGAGGAGCCAGTGAGAATCAACTCACATCCTAGGGAGGGGCTGAAGGAGGGGGTGAGTGGCATCTAGACCCACTCCAATAGATTGCAGAGGGGATCCTGCCCCATGGAGGAACGGCATCTGCCCTCTATAGCAGGCACAGAGCTGGAGGTGCAGGAGGGAAAGGCTGAATGGGAACTCAGTGCCAGCCTAGATGGGGGTCCCCATCTTGCCAAGCACTGCCCAACACCCCCCACATCAAGATTGCTCCCCATAAGCCTATGGGCCACCCAGATCTCCCCAGAAGAAAACAGGGTGGCCCAATTGAGTAGGCACTGCATGGACCCAGAGCTGGACTTAGGGTTGGGCAACCACCCAGGGTATATGGTATGGGGGAGCCACCCTGCCCCACCCCAGCTGATCCCTGCCCCTCCCCACTCCAAGCACTGCGCAGGAGGAACTGGTGGCCAGAAGTCCTGGCCCAGGCAAGTCCCTGAAGTGCCAACAGGACGAAGATGGGGGCCAGTGCCAGGAGCCACTGCTTCACCCATCCCAGGCTGCCCACAGCAAGGGCCACTAGTGGCATCCACATGAGGCCCAGATATACATGGTCCCCATGTTACTTCCCCTTTGGCCACGTCTCTCTGCAGCGCAGACTCCAGGCAGCCCATCCACATCTCTGGGTCGCGGGGGCAGGAAGCTGCAAGGGCAGTGCCGCACGGCCTCTGCCCAATGTGACCACAAGAAGTGGCAGGGGGGAAGGAAAGGGAATGTGATGATGACCCAGGCTGGACTGGAACAACCCTTGGGGTGGGGTGAGGCATGGGGCATAAAAAGATGGGTGGGAGGCACCAAAAGACAAGTTCTCTATTTGGCTCTGCACAGACACCCCCTGCCTCCCCCGCCAGATCATTTACCCTGGCATCAGGTCTTGCCCAGTTCCCTACAGAAGAAAATCAGGGTCCCCACAGTGCCAGGCATTGCCCAGACCTTAACCAAAGATCACATCTCCCCCAGTCCCAGGCATTGCCAAGCACCCCCAGACAAAAGCTAGGACACCTTCAGGACAAGGCATGGCCTCACCACCCCACAAACCACATCATAGTCATGACCAAGCCCTGCCCAGATGCTAGCTGATAGCTCAGCTTGTATTGTACCAGGCACTGCCTTGAAAACACACCAGGTGGAGTTAGTCTGGAAGAGGACAAACAGGACATGGAGAACAGAAACATCCCCTGAAAACAAGGGATCAGAGGATACCATAAACCCTCTGGAAATAAAGCCCCAGTCAGCTCCTAAACCCCCTAGGCAGCATGCCTAGATCTCTGCTCTTCCCACAACCCAGCTAAAAGAAAACCAAATACTTCTGGGTATGAAACCTTTATATAGCCAGGGGGGAGGGAAGGGGGCCTGATTGGCTAGGTAATCTGTCAGTCAGCTATCTGAAAGGAGAGGTGAAACTCTGGGGGGAAGGAGGCCAATGTAAAAGCCCTGGGCCCCTTTTCTGTTAGTAGGTAGAAAGGGTGGTTTGTAGGTTCCACCTCCGGCCGCGCGCCACCCCCTCCCTCCCGCTCGGCGGCCGCGGGGTACGCTGCTCTGCGTCTGGCTGCTGGGGGCTACAATGATCTAAAAAGGTTGGAAGCCCCTCTTCTAGAGCATTGCTGCTCCACTGCGCTGGCCCTGCCTCTCTGATGAGACACATGGCTGTTTAGCAACTCAGGCTCTTGTTTGCCAGCCACCTCTATGAATGCAAAATCCTCTCCTGCTTTCGGTGTAGCAGTGCCTAGTTCTCAAGTGCTATTATATTTCCTCATATATAGCATGCCCTCTTTTCCCTTAAGGCCCACCTGTGGAAAATTGGAGTGCATGTTTTATGCAAGGAATATGGTAAGAGCTGTTTCTGCTGCGTCCTGGGTGTGACTGAAATGAAAAGCTGCAGCAGTTTCTAGGGAGCTGAGTCCCCTCCCTTGTTGGGACTACTCAGTCATTTGCAATAAGGAAAGATCTCACTCCCTCCCTCCCCCCCCCATCCCCCCGGGGCATTTTATATGTGAGAAAATATGGTAATAATGTCTCGCCTTGCCTTGTGTTTCAGGGGGCTGCTGCTATGGACCTGATGTCACCATTAGGTGCTGCTGCAGATGGTCAGGGTTGCTGCATGCTCCTGTGATCTCCTTTCCAGTTCCTCTAGCAGCAGTCCCCTGCCACGCAAGCACTCGGAGCCCTGCCCCAGCGCACCTGCTAGCACGGGTGGTGAACATGCGGGATGTGTGCCCAACGGGACATGGGCATCCTCTGGGTGTGGCAGGTGGGAGCTGAGGCAGGGAGCAGAAAGCAGAGCAGCAGATGGGGGGAGCAGAAGGGGTGTAGATTAGTTGGAGAGTGGAAAGCAGAGTAGTCGATTGGGGCAGGGAGCAGAAAGCAGAGGAATAGATGGGGAACGGGGTACAGGGCAGGGAGAGGAAAGCAGAGCAGCTGAGCGGGGCAGGGGGTGGAAAGCTGAGTAACTGACTGGGTCAGGGAGTGGGGAGAAGAGCAGCTAATAGAGCAGGGGGCACAGGGCAGGGAGCAGAAAGCAGAGCAGGAGGCAGCTTCCATCATTGCCCCAAAGAGAGGCAGGAGCACGCCCACACCTTCCCAATGTGACCAGCTTGGCCTCTCCAGGCCACCCACCAAGCTGAAAGCCACAACACTTGCTGCCATGGTGTGGGCGAGGCAGGATTGGCAGGAAGGCCATGATTGGCTGAGCCCGTGGGGCGGGAAACATTGCAGGAAGCTGCCTGCTCCAGAGAGAGTGGAGCAACCCGGGCAGGACCTCAAGGGCATTGGAGCAAGGTCAACTCAGCAGCTGGGTCTGCTCCAAGACACAGTAGGATGCCCCAAAGCTGGGCCAAGGGGGCCTCTGGGGGTCACCGTGGGCCTTCGAGGAGGACCCATGGGCCTCAGTGCCCCGGGGGTGGGTAAGACCCCAGGCACCCTCCCCCTCGGGCCAGGAGCCAGCCACACACCACCTCTTGCAATCTCTTGCTGCTGCCCACAGCCCGACCGCACTCCTCTCGTGGCCCTGTGGTTTTCCTCCCACCAACGACTATCCAGCACCCCGGGTTCCCTTCTGCCCCCACAAGAGGAGGTAGGGGGAGACTGGAGCCTCCCCCCGCTCCGAGCGTCTCTGTGAGCAAACGTCCCACTTCCAACATCCTCCCAGCCCTGCCGGTGCCCCTCACTCCTGACCCACCACTCCATGCCCCCCATGCCTCGCTGGTTCCCCTCCCTCCTGACCCAAAGCCCCCCGCCCGTCTGTTCCAGCTCCACTGGTGCCCCACTCTGACCTGCAGCCCCTTGTCCCCCACCAGCTTGCTGGTGCCCCCCACTCCCAACTCCCAACCCCTCAGTCCCCTGGTGCCCTTCACTCCCCGCCCACAGCCCTGCTGGGGGGGAGGGGACTGTGAGTCAGGAGTAAGGGGCACTGGCAGGGCTGGGAGGATGTTGGAAGTGGGACGTTTGCCCTGCCAGTGCCCCCCCCTCCCAAACCACCACCTGCTGTGATACC